AACATATTGTTCTTCTGCCTGCTGCATGGTTGAAGCAGCCATATTTAGAACCGCCAAAGATTAAAAATGTCTCTGCTTTATAACAGGAAAGTCCCAAATGTGCAGAAATGGAGCCCAGCCCTTGTCAAGGATTGCCAGTCTGCTTTTCTTTAAAGACACGATCAGATGCAGAAATTAGGTGGCAACCTGGCTGACGTCCTGAACTAAAATGCACTACTAGAATTAAGCAGCTCAGTGACGTTGATAGTTCTCCCTCATCATCATATTACTTCACCAAGTTCTGGAACCTGCAAACAGTTGCTTGTTTTAAGAGATATGTGTCTTCTACTCTCTCCAAAGCCTGTTTGTAACAGGACTTTGACATCTGCATTCCTAGAAATTCTCAAATGGGAGTTACTAGGGTGGGTATTGCAGGTGATCTCTCAATCTAATGCATGAGATTAAAAATAAGATATTAATCTCTTTACTGATGGAATACTTAGAAACTACCTGCTAAGCTGAGCTAGTTTTAGGTGGTTCTGAGGAACAATCTAGTTGTGTTGGTTGGCTTTGGCCTAGTGTGTTTTGTGAATCTAGCCAATTATGCCTGAGTCTTTAAACCATGGTTAGGGTGATATGGCTTGATGGGATACATAAACCTAGTTGCAATCTACTTGAAACCCGCCTGCTGTGTTTCTTAATCCCATTGCTGGATTGGTTACTCCAAACTGAGATCTAATGAAGAGAGAAACATGGTTATAAATGGTTACTTAACCATTGTGTGATCTATTTGTTTGAGTTTTAGCTTGTTGTGTGAAGCTAACTATCATGGCTTGTATGTCTTTATTTAGGCTTAGTATGTTGTTTGAACCAGGATGTTGTATAGGTTCTGCAAACCTCAGTGAAATACCTATCCAATGTTGACTGTTCTTGGAAGCTAAACAAAGGAGATCCTGATTAGTTTTGGGGCAGGGAACCATTTGGGATGTATAGATTTGTATGCCAAACTAGGAAGCTGAAAAAGCAACATTGAACAAGATAATGGCAAACTATTTCTGGTGTTCCTGTCAATAAACCTACCCTACATGCATGTAAATGATGCAGATGACATCAAGGTAGGGGGAATGGCCAAATGCATATAGCATAGGTGGTATCTGGCTCAACAGGAGCAACTGGGAGAGCAATCTAGGTGTCTTGGTAGACCACCTCTGGAGCAAAAAAGAAAGATAGCTTCAAGATCACATGAAGCAACAATGCCAATATATACTGCAATAGTGAAACCACGCTTGGAATACTCTATCCAGTTCTGGTCACCATGATACAAAAAAAAATAAATGTTAAGACCCCAGAAAGAGTGCAGAGAAGAGCAACAAAGATGACTAGGGGTTTGGAGGATGAACAATAGGTATGTCCAGTCTAATGAAGTGAAGAATGACAGGATAGTAGACTTCCAGTTATTGTCACCAAGAAGAGTGGGTTGATCTATTCTTCAAAGCCCCAGAGGGCAGGAGAGGGAGTAATGGATGAAAGATCATTTAAGAGAGTTCCAACCTAAAACTAAAGAGAAATGTCCTGACAGTGAAAACAGTTAATCAGTGTAATGGCTTACCTCCAGAAATTTTGGGTGCTTCATCACTGGAGGTTTTCAAGAAGAGACTGGGAAGCCATTTGCCCCAAATAGTATAGGGCAGTGGTTCCCAACCTTTTTTTCGCCCTGCACCCCTAAAGAAATTTCACTCGAACCTCGCACCCCCTGAAATTTAGACTTTAGGAACTACTGAACGCGTTAAATATAGGGTAGGATTGAATCTTTTCAGCTATGTATGGGACGGCCACTAAATAACGATACTTAACTCTAAAATGAAAACAAAGTTAAACCATTGCATAATAAATAAAAATGCCAACATATAGCCAATATCCTATTATTTACGTGGACTTTTCTCACACCCCCTGGAATATCGTCTCGCACCCCCAGTTGGGAACCCCTCGTATAGGGTCTCCTGCTTCAGCAGGGAGTTGGCCAAGGTCCCTTCCAACCCTATTAGTCTATATTATATGTTCTAACTCACCAGCTGTTGAGTTCTTTCAGAGACTTACAATAATATTGCATATGCAATAATATTAAATCTGACTTTTTGGCAACGCTGAGAATTTCTTGAACAAAGTGAATTATGGCCCTAAGAGAAGTGAAATTATAATTTTCCCTACAAAAATCTCAATGGCTGAAGAAATAAGCCAAGGTACAGGCAACAGTGCAGGCCAAAACAATTGTCAGGTTCTGAAGCAAAGCACCCATATCCTTGTGACCAACCTAGGTAGTCCTCAACTTACAACCAATCATTTAGTGACCTTTTGAAGTTACAACGGCACTAAAAATAGTGACTTACAATGGGTCCTTGCACTGGCAGCATCCCCACAATCACGTGATCAGAATTAGGGCACTTGACAACTGCTATGCATGTATGAGGGTTACAGCATCCTCAGGTCATGTGTTCACCCTTTGAGACCTTCCCAGCTGCTTCCAATAAGTGAAGTCAATGGGGGAACCCAGATTTGCTTAAGAATCATGTGATTCACTTAACAACTAAAGTGATTCACTTAATAACCCTGGCATTTTTTTAAAATAAAATTGGATGCAACTTAATCACCAACTTGCTCAGCAATGGAAATTCTGGCCCCAATTGTGGTTGCAAGTTCAGTACTCCCTGCAGTAATGATGCTGTCTGGGTGGCTGTTGGATGCATTTCCAGCCGTGCAGCGTGCTGCTGCAGCCACCAGATTTGCTGATGCAGACAAAAAATAATTGAAGGGCCTTAGTTCCGTGGTGCTGTACCTGCCTTGCACCTCAAAGGTGATAGGTTAAGCTCTGCCAACCTCACCTTCTCAGAGGTTAAAACTTTCAGAGAGACTCTGCCATGATTGCAAATATTGAGCCTAAAGTAATCTTTTAATTTTCAGTCTGTCTCCTTGCAAATGAAAAACTTGCACACATGGAGTTCAACAGTCTGGAATTTTCCTTTCTTTATAGCTACTTCGGCTAACAATCTTTAGCCAAAACAATAAATAAAGTTTTGGGTTCTCCAACACTGGATGTTTCAAATAAAAATTTAAAAATTGAGGGAAGCAGTCAAAGAAGAAAACCTTCTGAATCTTGCACCTACAGACCAACCGAGCAATGAATTTTTCTCTCTGGATTAATTCCAGCACTTGGGAAAGCACTATCTTTGAAATAATAATAATAAGCTCTTGAGACCCCCGTTTTGAATGCCCACTTAAACAACTGAATTTACATTGCAAATGGTTCCCCACCCTTGGCTAGGACCAGCACTTAAACCAACAAGCACCCCATCTGACAGTTCTCAGTCATTCCTCCTTACCACCACCCACCCCCTGGTGCTCCCTTTAGCAAGTCAGGTCTGGCAGGAAGCATCTCGTTTTTCTCCCCGTGTGAAGTTTATTAAATGTCCTTTATAAGCAGCTGCCCTATCTTCATCAAATTGCAGAAGCTTTGGGAGAGCACGTTTTGTGTTTCCTACTCCAGGAACTACTTTTATTTTTTTCTCTCTCTTTGTCTAGTTGCTACCTCCCTTTACAAGCCAGTGCATTTCAAAAGCAAAGGTATTTATAAGAGGATATACTTTGGCTGCAAAAGGAGAAAAAAATTAACTCCTTCTTCTCCGTGCCTGCCTGCCTGCCT